GCAGCAAGGGGAAGAAGTTGGGGGGGGGGCTGGATTTGACTCCCAACATGCAATGCTGCTTTAGACCTGGACTCTACCGGGCGTCCTGATTGTGGTGGGTGCCTAAGGCTAAAGCCCATTCAGAAGGGGGATGCGAGGAAAGGAAGGCAGGGACGGGACTTACGAAGCAGAGGCCTTGCTTTAGAAGAGGCGCCTGTGTTACCCTGTGCTAGTATCTCGGGCAAAGACAAAAGAAGGCACATGGAAAAATAAAGGAGACAAAAATGCCCTGACACTTCCTGAGAGGTCTGAGGATGTGGATTTGTCCACAAAAGCTCACATTAAAATATAGCAGTTAGTCTTTAAGGTACCACAACATTTTTGTCTTCTTTATTTTTTTTAAAAAAAATTCTTTTATTTTTGCTTGAGAGGTCCGGCTGTCTCCTATGGAGTTTTGCAGTAGGATGGAAGACAGTTCGTCCACTCAAGCTTCTGGCCCTATACTTCAGCCCAGAATCCTCCCCCCCGGCCCTTTCTTTGTCCTGAGGGCTGACGGCTGAACCCAGTTCTATCAGGCTGACAGTGGGTTGCGATGGGCCACACATCTAGAAAGGCCAGACGGGGAACCTCTGGCCTTTTTAGATATTAGCAGACTAGCCAGCACAGCCCACTGGTGAGGGGTAACGGGAGTTGTAGTTCAGCAGTACCCAGAGGGCCACATGTTCCCAATCCCTGCTACAAAATATTTCGCTGAGAAGGCCCCACCTTGGGTGGGGACTGCTTGGCAGAGCCACTGGCTAACTTTTGTGAGGAACATGATTGCAGGCTGATTTGGACATTTCTCCTCTTTGATGCTGTACACGAAATGGCTTATAAAAGAGCTATCCCGGCAAGGACTGGGTGTGGCGGCTTGCACAAGGCCAGGAAGTGTGGGAAAAGGCATGGTCATGCGTGCTCTTGCACAGTTTGCCACTTGTGCCCTTCGCCCTCTCAATAACTCTCTACCCAAGAATGACCTACTCCTTGAAAAACAGTTCTTGTACAAAGTAACACTGATACCTGAAGAAGCCACTGCTTGCTCCAGATTACATTCTACAGAACAGGACCTCAGAATTCCAGGAAGCAACAACCATTTTCAGGTAAAGTGGCTCTAAAGTAGGAAGCTCGGGAACAGCCCCCCAGGCATCAGCTGGGAAGGCCACAGGGTCTGCACCAGACTTTTTTTTCTCTCTGTCTCTCTGTATCCCCCCCCCCCTTGGGAGTTATCTTTCTTAAGTTTTTTCTGGAGGACTGGCAATAAGACTGCAGTTGAGACGTGGGTGTGTAGATTCTCTTAGAGGCATCCCAGCACCCATCCTTTTATTCTGGGTGTCTGACCCGATCCCAAGAAAGCATGCTCCCCTGTCTCCACCCCCACCGCCTGCTCACAACGAAGGGGAAGGAGCAGCTCTTACCATAGTGCCAATGCTGTAGGTTGCTGCAGGGCCGATGGTGTGGTGGTATGGATCTGCAGCTGCATAAACTCTGCCGTAACTAGGAGCGAACACAGGGGGCAGCGTTAGAAACTGGGGGATCGCGGAGTTGCCAACCCTAAATGTTCAAAAAACCACGAATCAGGCCCCAGACATCATACTTTTTTTTTCTTTTACAGTCACAATGTATATAACAGAAATAGCAAGATTATTTTCTGAGCTTTTAGGATACCTCCTAAAGTCAAATTTTCAAGTTCCCTCATACCCAGGGAGATCATTTCCAGCATCAGACTTCCTTAAAAGATCAAGATCTTTGAGCAATGGTGGGTTTTCCTTCCCTGGACAGGAAAAACAACAACAACTAGAGAACACGGAAAGAAAGCCAGCACTGGGAAAAACCACCATTGTCTAATACAGTGGTCCCCAACCTTGGGCCTCCAGATGTTCTTGGACTTCAACTCCCAGAAATCCTGGCCAGCAGAGGTGATGGTGAAGGCTTCTGGGAGTTGTAGTCCAAGAACATCTGGAGGCCCAAGGTTGGGGACCACTGGTCTAATAGCAGCCCAACAAAAATAGGCATTAAACGAGTGCTTAGAGACTTGCTTTCATAACGATCCAGTCAAACCTCCACTAGTGCTGCCTTGTCACCAAGAGCAACAGAATATCCTGAACAGAAACAGCTGTATTGGGACCAAGTCTAAGCATCCACCTGCTTCCCCAAGTATTGCTCATGCTTAGTGGCCACACTTCTTCAACTTTCAGGCCAAAACAACAGGCTATAGGGTCAATTTGTATTCCCAAACTCTGGATGCTGTATTTTCCTAAGATGTGGCATGGGGAGGACTGACTTGCAGGAGAAGTGTGTGAGATGGAAACACTGGCAAATAAATTGAAGGCATGCTGGGAGTGTCACTTGAGGGCACATTTAAGCAACTCTGTCTTTTCCTCAAAAGTGAAGGGAACAGAAGCACTGGAAACTAGATAGGTGGGGTATAAATGCAATAAATAAATAAACCTTGAGATGGAGCATGGTTGAACTGAGGCAGCCCAGAACTGGGCTAGCTCCTAGATTTTGCACATTCATTAAGGACTATGAGGGTGTAGGCCAGTATTTATTTCATAGAAGAGTGAAGTTGGGCCTATAAGACCACCAAGTCCAACCCCCACTCGATGCAGGAAGACAAGTCAAAGGATATCTGCCAGGTGCTTGTCTAAGTTTCTCTTGAATGCCTCCAGTGTTGGAGTGCTCACCACCTCTCAAGGTAAATGGTTCCACTGCTGTACTGGTCGAACAGTTAGGAAATTTTTCCTGATACTATTTAAAATCAAGTGAGGACAAATCCAAGTGAAAGATGGTCTGGTGACTGAATGGGAAAGAGGGTCAAGCTGAATAGAACTGGTTTTGTATGATACTCAGGAAATGGAGACTGAATAGCTTTTGGGTGGAATTTAAAAAACTGTCAATGTTGGATCCTAGGATCCAAAACAAGGAAAGTGTAAAAGGGTTTTAAGACATGGAAGGAATGAATATGGAGCAGAAATGCAAACCTGAACACCAATATTCTCAAGAAGAATGGAATCATAACATAATGCTGATATTCAGTAGCTGAAGTCTTAAGCAGTAAAATCTCATAGGAATTTACATTAAGAATACTTCATATTTTTATAGCATGATTTTCCTAAATGTTCCAACTACTTCACATACACTATCTCAGCAATCCTTAAACACCTCCATAAGATAGAGCACTACATTATCAATCCATATTGCAGATGGGATGGTGGTGGTTTGGGGGATAGTGGCTCAAGGCCTGAGTACAGATTTCAACCTTTACTTAAAGCCCACTCTCTTGGTAATATTACTGGCACTTTTTATAACACCATACTATGAGTGAGAAAGAAACTGGTGCCAACATGGCTTTTGTTCTATGGGTTGTATCATAATCTACTGACAAACTATTGCCAATGTCAATCTAGTGGGATTTCTAATCAAATTCTAAAAGGTAGTAAAACAGTAAGAGAAATGTTAACTGTGAATAAATAACCAAATAGAAAGGATTTTGTACAGCTTCTCAATAAAGCATTCTACACTGAGTAGAAGTGCAAGAGAAACGGGAGGCCCTAACAGAGCCATCTTGTTATTAGAGAGCTTTACTCAGTGGGAACTATCACCTAATTAATACAGCCGCACAGTACTTGGCCCTGTTCTACATTGTGGCTTCATGTCAGGAAAAAAAAAGTATTGATTTCATTAGGCATACAAAGGGGGAAAATAACAAACTGCGGAAATAAAAGTGCATTCTGGACCTCTTGTGGTGTGATCTATTTCCTGATGGTCATATGACATGCTAATGAACTCCAGCCTGACCCTGATCTGTGTCCAAGCGGAGCCCTTTTGGTCAAACTGTAGGTAGGGCTTTTATGTTTTTGGGGCTGAACTGGAGTAATCCCCTAGCAGATGGAAAGGCTGCTTTCTGGTGATATTGGACGTACACGTTCCCAGCTATCTGATTGGACCCTGATTCCCATGAAGTACTAGAGGACACTTTTGGTGTGGGGTAAAACACAGAAAACAAGATAGTGTAAGGCCCAAGTACTTCATAGCATCCTACTGTTGCTGAGAGCTATAACTTGGCTGTTTTTTTTTCATATTCTGCCAGTCTAGGCAACAGCCCTTGCTTATGTAATCCTTTTTTTTTTTTAGGGGATAGGAAATGCCACTTGCTGACAGCAATGGTGAGCCGCCTTCCTTGATTGTCCTCTAAGGTTCTCCTAATATGGGGCAGCAATCCTACTCCATGCTGAGTAGGCAGGTTGGCAGAAAAATTCATGTAGGGAAAGGTTAGTCCCAATAACAGATAGGATGGTTTACCTGTCGCTGTAAGCTGCTGCCGCCGCTGCTGCTGGCTGAGCGTATCTGTAGGCTGCATAACCCCCCTGGACCAAAGAAGAGGAGGAGGAAAAAAAGCATTAGGGGACAGGAATATGCCTTCCTGCCCATGTGCCCTAGGAAGGGGGCATCTTCTGTGCCTGGAGGTTGGTTCTTAGCAAAGAAATGAGGCACACCAGGTGCTAAGCAAGCCCAGGAGAGAGGCATGTACCCACCCCCCATAAGTCTAGTCCAACACCACTCTCATTAGCATTCCCTGGGGGTCTCACTAACATTAACCTGCAGAAATTAAACATGCTGAGGAGAGAATGTCACCTCCCTGGCGGGTGGCGGTGTTAATGAGATGTCACCTCTGATAAATCCGTCAGAGTCTGCCTGAAATATTGCCCAGAGCATTTTAAATATGGAGGGGAAATGCTTCTGTAATACAGCATGCTGACACTGGACCAGGAAATAAATCCTGCCCTTTGTGAGAGTGGATAGAGAAGACGCCAGCCATGTCTTCCCCTTCCACAACTCCCACTCCACACAGTCCAAGTTGCTACTTCAGCCAAGTCTTCCCCCAAATCTGGGTGGAAGTTAGTTTCCTCTGAACACCTTCTTTGCTATCTAAAGCACTTTCGGTTGTGGGAAATACTAAAAGGGGTTTGCTGTAGGTGGTAAATCAGGACTGATCGGAAAGATGGATCCTGTAAGAAATGTCCAGACCCTTACCACCTTTTCTTCTCCACACTCGAGCTTAAGCACTAGCTCTTTAAATTCCTCACCCACTTGTATCACTTTAACCAAATGAACAGTTGGAATTCCTCAGATCTAAAACAGCCTTCCCACAAGGGCATCACCTATTTCTCTGGCCAGTCTTATAGTCTGGTTGTAGAAGGAAGGAGAGTTTGAAAATGTTACTTTTTAAAACGATAACTCCAAGGCTGACTGGGGAATGAAAAGGGTGCGGACCCACTGGCAATAAGAACTACAGTTAAATCAATTTTACCATTATTTAAATCAATTTATAAATTCCCAGGCACATGATGCATGGATGGAATTGAATTATTTGGCTTAGAAAGTGAGGTGTGTTTTTTTTAAACTTGCTGGCAAGGGCTTTTTTAAATACCTTGCTTGTAAATCAATTTATTTCAATTCAGGTTGGTGGTTGTGAACAGCACTGTTGATTTACTTTGTTCCTTTGCTGATTATGAGTGCTACTGGCAGAGCAGTTTTGCCACTCCACTTTTTAAAACTTCATTTTTAAAATGTTTAGTGATGCATCACTTAGTGTACTGTGACCACAAATGGTAACTGGCAACATGGGCACCCACTCTACCTGGTGTCTTTGTGAAACACAGCACCTTGACACCAGAAACGGACAGAGGCATTGTACGATATGTACATTCTTTCAGGACTGCCGTCTGATGTTTAGAATAATTTCTCAGATGAATGCATCTGTTTATTTAGTGATGTATCTCTTTAAAAAAAGAGTCAAAAAGTATACAGTTTACTCCTAAAACAAAAAAGAAATGAGTCAATATCCTCTGTGTAGCCACCAAAACCAGTTTTAATTACCAGAAAAAAAATCAACTTAATTTCAATCAACATGAATGTGGCTACTGATTTATATACCACATGACTTGAACCTGATATATTAAAAAGTCGGAACAGAAATTGATTCAAATTGCCAGTGGGAACTTACCCCAAGTTTTTTAGAATTTGGCAAGAGAATGGGGTAGCAAGAGAAGCAACTATGAAGCTACTTAAGGTTGGGATAAAGGTTCATTAGCAAAGAGGTCTCCAAGAGTTGTCAAATGGGATGAACTTACATAAATTTCAGCACCGTAGAATCCATCCTGATATACCACACTGAAAAGTAAATGAAGAAAAAGAAGGCAGATGTGACTTCCAGTGTTGAGCGACGCACTTTGAAACCTGCTCTGTAGGACTGCACAATGGTTTCCAAGGGTTGTCCCTGACCTGGCACGGTACAATCATTTGGGGCTCTCATTTTCAGTGCTGTTAATTGCCTTTCTCAGCCTTGACAGCAGGAGAGATGCAGTCGTGCTAGTCATCAAGCTGAACAGAGTGATCTGCTTGACAGGTAAGTGGGATGACCAAGAAAGAGGAGCAGGTGCTCTTGGGGGAGTCTGGGCACTGGGAGCCACCATCGGATATGCTCCAACAATATGTGTGCTTGACCATTCACAAGGACACAAGGACATCTTCTGGTTCATTGTAACGTTTGCCTTTTTAAAACAACAGCAGCAGCAAAAGTAGCAAGTCTCTAACCAGAATGGCTGGAAGTTACAGAAACTATCTGCTCAGAATCTGCCTATTGTGGCTCTCTCTCTCTCTTCTCATGTGGCCTCTAGTCATGTTTTCATGCTCATATACTTTGGCTGCCTAAGACGGGAGGGGAAAAACCCCCCACAACTTTGCCCAATTATAAATTCTGGATGAGAGCATGCAAACAGATATTTTGTGCAAAATTCATCCACATAACTGTATGCTGCCATGCAACTTGAGAGAGTTCTCACTGGGTGAGTACCGTATTTTTCGCAAAATAAGACACACTTTTTCTCCAAAAAAAAAACCATGGGGGGGAAAGTGTGTGCGTCTTATGGAGTGAATACTGTCCCCCCCACGCCACCATCGCTGGCTTCTGAGGCCTCCGTAGGCCTCAGAAGGCCCCATGGGGGGTCACCCCCGCCACCATCGCTGGCTTCTGAGGTCTCCCTGGCCTCAGAAGGCCCCGTGGAGGGTCCCATCCACCACAATCGCTGGCTTTTTAGGCCTCAGAAGGCCCCATGGGGGTCCCCCCCGCCACCATCGCTGGCTTTTGAGGACCTCCGGGAGGCTTTGGGCTGCTTTTTACTTTTTTAAAAAATGTTCCGGGTGGGTTTTGGAGGATAGATTTGGGCTGGGGGGTATGTTTCTATGTTGCTTTGTGTTTTGGTGATTTTTTTTTTACAGTCCCAGTGTGGGACTTGCTCTGTTTATTTATTTTTACTTTATTTTTTGGTATTTAAAAATTAGGTGCTGCTTTTTACTTTTTAAAAAATGTTCTTGGTGGGTTTTGGAGGGTAGGTTTGGGCTGGGGGGTATGTTTCTATGTTGCTTTGTGTTTTGGTGATTTTTTCTGCCGTCCCAGCGTGGGACTTGCTCTGTTTATTTATTTTTACTTTATTTTTTGGTATTTAAAAATTAGGTGCTGCTTTTTACTTTTAAAAAAATGTTCTGGGTGGGTTTTGGAGGGTAGATTTGGGCTGTGGGGGTATGTTTCTATGTTGCTTTGTATTTTGGTGATTTTTTTTTGCAGTCCCAGTGTGAGACTTGCTCTCTTTATTTATTTTTATTTTATTTTAAATTTTGGTATTTAAAAATTAGGTGCGTCTTATGGCTAGGTGCGTCTTATGGAGCGAAAAATACGGTACCTTGTGATACATCAGATATTGTTAGAGTGCAACTCCAGTCAGCTTTTGCTGGCATAGCCAAAGATGAGGCATGAAGGGAGCTTAACCTCAGCCTCTGGCAGGCCACAGGTCGACCACCCCTGCTCCAAGGGAACATGGCCCTTCCCTTTTATGGGCTATGAGCACTTGCCCCAACGCAGGTGGAGATGCAGAGGACCCAGAGCAGCAATACATGGAAGGAGCTGCTCCCCCAAAGCTTGTTACTTTGCTGGGACCTGGGAGGAGGGGGGCAGCATTCTCCTGGCTTGCAATTTAATCTGAAGAGCTTCTCCAATCCCCTTCGAAAGGTCCCATTTCTGCCAGATACTCACGCTCCGTAAGTAGGGATGGGTGGGGGTGGGGGAGCTGCCCGGAACGTGTTGTAGACTGTGCGCCCCCGTCCCCGTAAGTGTGCCCCCCGGTATGCTACTGCCGTTCCTGTGGCTGGGTACGGGAAACCTGTCACTACAGGAGAGAAAGAAACACCCATGAACACAAGGTTGGGATAACTCCCAAATGCTAATAGCTAGCTAACCCATTCCCCCCCCCAACAGCATGTGGTAGGCAAGAGGTCAACTGAGAAAACAAACAGCTTGTGCCTTTTTTGAACCCGGTGTTGTCCTTAGACTTATTCTTATGGGCAGGGATGGCCCATGGATTGGAACAGGAAGGTACCTCACCCCAAAATTGACATTTTGGGTACCCCTCTGGCCGTGGTCATGAGCTGCCTTTGCTTTGGGGACAGAACAGCACCCATTAATTTGAGCTCAGCTTCACTTCCCCATTATATCTTCCCATCTGCCACTCTTCTGTAACCACCCCAACCTTTCCATGAGAAAAAGAATGCAGGACAGCTCTGTAATCTTATTACATTTCAGTTCTGAATCACTGAAGTAATCTTTGCAACTGTACTAGGTTGGCTATGCTAGATGTGGGCAGGCTCCAGACTTGTGTGTTCTAAATTAAAACTAAAACAAAAGCTAAGAAGCCGAAAATTGTATCACCAAGAGCCAGATGCGAGATAACAAGAGGAATCAGAGCCATCTGCAAAGTGGTGACCTGCATGGCAGATGAACTATTTGGCCTTAAGGACCCCAACTTTATGATTCAGTAAATCTGTTGCCTGTATCCCACCTCTGCCATACAGTGGAATTACTTGGTTATATAGGGATGAATGTACAGCTGAATTAAGATGGACAAAGAATTTCAGAAGTTTAATTTCCTGGGAGGTAAACAAACTCTCTGTTACAGCTCACTGAGCATTAAAAAAAACCTTTGACCTTCTACTGCACACCATCCAATATCTCCTGGTAGATTCTGACCTCCTTTGTATTCATTCCCAGGTTAGGCTAAGAGATGGTGGCTGGCCTAAGATCACTCTGTGGCCTTTGTGGCTGACTGGGGATTTGAACCTGGGGTCTCCCAGTCACAATTCAGCATTCTAACCACTACCCCACAATGGTTTATCCCTTTCCTCTTCTTCCCTTCCTCATTGCCAGCAAAACGTGGCTCTGCGCAAGGAATGAGTGAATTCCTGCTAGGAGATTCAATGGCCCACATTCCTGAAAGACAAGGCTTGCCCAAGGGCCTGGCCTGATCCAGACATTACCTGCATAGAACTCGGGGCCATAGACGGTGCCTACCACAGGGTTCAACTTCCAGCCTGGAGAGAGAGAACAAGGAGACGTGAAAGCCTATCCAAACCTGTGTTTGTTTTGCCAGAGTCAGAGTCAGCAATCTGGGAAAAACAGGACAAACAGAGAGGGAGGGAGGGAGGGAGAGAGAGGGCATCAGACCCATTAAATATGGAGCCTGAGGAATGCTTTCTTGGGATGAATGCCAGTTGGCCATCTGTACTACTCAAGAGGTAGCATCAAACCTGAGTTGCCTCTCCTCGCCCACCAGCATGTTGTGCACTTCTTGACCCCTTCTAAGTTCAGACTTGTTTGCCCTACACCCACCAGCTACTGGATGCCACCATTTCCAGACATGGTGCGTGAGGGCGAGCAAACAAATCCAAGGGGCCTGTCAGCCTTTCAGAGATTACTACTTCTGGCCTAGAACAACACCCTTCCTGCTCCCCCCTCCATCCATTACCATTTGTGTAGGGATTGGCTGCCTTCTTGTTGGTCATGACTCGTGCGGTGGCGTTGTTCACCTGGGGAGAGAAAAGGGCGCAGAGAGTCAGTTCTCAATAGGTCTTGGATCCAAATATTATCCCTCTGCCCCGGAAGAGACTTGGGATTGGAGACACCAGGAAAGTTTCAGGATTCACACACGCCAATCAGAATTTGGGCCAGAAGCCCCACAGCAGAGCTTGGACTGGGGATCCCTAGGGGCGATCCCCTCGGCCTTGATGGCCATGTTGGGCCTCAGGATTTCCTCATCGCCATCCTGGGCTTTCCACCCACAGCGCTTCCTAACAGGCAGGCTTGAGACAGGCGTGGGACGTCAGAATGAGCTGTGGCAGTTTTGTCAGTTTGTAAGGAAACGTTCCTGAAACTCCCCCATTTCCAGGGTCACGCTCGCAGCTGACATGCAGGGTCCTGCTCAGACATCATGCACCTTGGGAGCACAGTTCACTGGACAGGCCATGCCACGCCACACGAGAGAAGAACGAAGAACCCAAACACAGAGCAAAAGGGGCAGAAGCTCCAGCAGAAGAGGATGTCGTGGGTTAAAAAAACAGCGCTCTCTGTCTTCCCCACAGCTCTGGTAAAGGAGGACTAAGTACCTTTGGGTACACCTTATGAGGCACAGCTCTGGCCAGCAAGAAACACCCGACAGTTCAGAGAGCTGGTTATGACCTATGAATCCCTATAGAGTTTGGGTCTGGGCTATCCGAAGGACTATATCTCCCTATATGAGCCTTCTCGGCCCAGAAGACCTTCAGAAAAGGCTCTTCTCTTGGTCCACGTTTGAAAGGGCCACAAGAGAGGGCCTTTTCTACAATTGCTCCCACGTTGTGGAATGATCTCCCTTGCAAGGCCAGGGAGGACCCCACCTTCCTTTTACCCTTTCAGCCAGCAGTCAAAGACCCACCCCTTCAAACCCCTCTTTTAATAACTGTGATTGAGTCCCTGGATGCTGGGCGTCCCCTCCCCCCAGTTTGTTATTCAGGTTTTAAATGCTTTTAATTACTTAATGATTTTTTTTACTGATTATTGCAATTTAATTACTTTTTAATCTGTAATTTACTGTGTTTTTAATATTGTTTTAACATTGTGAGCCACCTTGGGTCTCCTCACCGGAAGAAAGATGGCCTACAAATGATACAAATAACTAAATAAATGAACTCTTAGGACTGAACCAATTAAGACATTCTTCATTTGCATCTTAAGAGAGAATTAAACTGAAACTGCTCCTCAATTAGTATGTTAAGGGTAAAATGCCAGGAGGCAAATCAACTTTTTTGGAAGGAGGGAGGGAGGGAGGGATAACTGTTAGTTTATTGCACAAAAAATGGAGTCTTATGGGACCCTGAAGACTAACTACTTTTCTCCAGCATAAGCTTTTGTGAACTACCCTCTCCCTCCTGCTGATCATGTGGCAACCTGACTCCTGAAATCTCTTCTGTAGGCTTGAGTTCAACTTGGTTTCCCAATCTGAGAAGATTTAAATGCTTAGCAGCATCGTATTTCCTGTTATATCTTTTAGCTTTGCCTCACCTCCTTGCTGCTCCTACCTTACTCTTGCTGGAGACACTCTCCCTTCTCCTCTGCATTCCCCCATCCCTCCATCCTTTGGCATTCACCATCATCGGACATGCAACATCCACTCGCCCGCTTGCTTGTTTTGTGAGGCCCCAGAGGTAGAAATGGTTCTCTTTCTCTCTCTTTATTTTTTGAATATGTGTGCGTGTGTGTGTGTAGGGGGTGGAATAGCAAGTGTGGTTCCTAATGCCCGACGCAGAGCAGGCAGTGCACCTGTTCGCACCTCAATTTTGCGTCCCTCTACGATGGTGCCGTTCAGCTTCTCCCGTGCCCGATCGGCATCTGCACTAGTTTCAAAAGTTACAAACCCAAAACCCTGTGAGTAGGGGAGAGAAAGGAAGAAGGAGAGAGAAAAAGAGAAAGAGAGAGAGAGAGAGAGTGATTGGGAAGGGAGAGAGGGAGGAGAAAGAGGAGGGGAGCAGAAAGGGGGGAGGAGAAAAAGATGGCGAAAGAGAGAAAAGGGGTGGGTGGGAAGGACAGGACAGAAAGAAGGGGTGAGTAAGGAGCAGCAGAGACAGAACCCCCCAGGGCCTGGGGGGGCGAAGAGACAGGATGTGACATTTCCAAGCCACCCTAGGGCTGGGGGAGAAGGGACAAAGCAAGGAGAAAGGGAGGGTCAGGCTTGAAAGGAATAGGACAGACACGGGCTTCCCAAGAGTCAAAGGCTGCAGGACAAGGCATGACAGAGTGCAGTGGCATCACCCTCGGCCTAGAGGAATGGGGTCCCAGGTGGGTAGGGGCCATGAGCAAGTTATTCCAGGATGAGCCCCTGGGGCTTGCAGTGGGTTCCAGCCAGTCTCTCCTCCACCCTGAGGCTCAACATCATCCAAGCTTCTGTGTGTGGGTTGGGGGTGGTGGGTTGGGTCAGAGTGTGTAGTACTTGAGGGGCAAAGTTCAGTCCTGGTCACCACATGCGATTGTCCCCACTGAATCCTGGCCACCCATTTGCAATTAGATCTGTTAGTGCTGGAGGTGGGGAACAAGGATTTGAACTGGGAAAAGAATGAAACAAGGGAGGGAGGTCTATATGTTCCCTCCCCTCCTGACATGCTCCTGATCCAATCTTCCCAACACCGAAACCCCACACCCATCCTGCACTGGTGTGTTTGAGGTCTGAACAAGAATCTGGGACAATCTGATCACTGAATGTATATATAACAGTCTGGTTTGGACCTGGGAGCTGACTCTGGAACTGATAGCTGAGGCTTGAAAAGCTCAGGGCACCCAATGTATCATCCTAGAAATTAAATTCCAATTCTATTAATAAAATATTCTACTGTTTTATTTCTCACATAAAACTTTACCCTTTGTCCCAGGTGAAATATTTTGTCTCTCCTTTATTGGTAGTGATTTCCAGTTTCACCATGAGAGGGTGTTCTTTTCCTGCGTTAGCTACATGGTTGTAGCTCCCCCTATTTTTATCATCCTACATGTTGTACTTCATCGGGCATGTATAGAACCCAGATAGTTGAGCACCTTCATTCAGCGCATTTGCTTTAAAAGGGGTGGGTGGGAAGGACAGGACAGAAAGAAGGGGTGAGTAAGGAGCAGCAGAGACAGAACCCCCCAGGGCCTGGGGGGGCGAAGAGACAGGATGTGACATTTCCAAGCCACCCTAGGGCTGGGGGAGAAGGGACAAAGCAAGGAGAAAGGGAGGGTCAGGCTTGAAAGGAATAGGACAGACACGGGCTTCCCAAGAGTCAAAGGCTGCAGGACAAGGCATGACAGAGTGCAGTGGCATCACCCTCGGCCTAGAGGAATGGGGTCCCAGGTGGGTAGGGGCCATGAGCAAGTTATTCCAGGATGAGCCCCTGGGGCTTGCAGTGGGTTCCAGCCAGTCTCTCCTCCACCCTGAGGCTCAACACCATCCAAGCTTCTGTGTGTGGGTTGGGGGTGGTGGGTTGGGTCAGAGTGTGTAGTACTTGAGGGGCAAAGTTCAGTCCTGGTCACCACATGCGATTGTCCCCACTGAATCCTGGCCACCCATTTGCAATTAGATCTGTTAGTGCTGGAGGTGGGGAACAAGGATTTGAACTGGGAAAAGAATGAAACAAGGGAGGGAGGTCTATATGTTCCCTCCCCTCCTGACATGCTCCTGATCCAATCTTCCCAACACCGAAACCCCACACCCATCCTGCACTGGTGTGTTTGAGGTCTGAACAAGAATCTGGGACAATCTGATCACTGAATGTATATATAACAGTCTGGTTTGGACCTGGGAGCTGACTCTGGAACTGATAGCTGAGGCTTGAAAAGCTCAGGGCACCCAATGTATCATCCTAGAAATTAAATTCCAATTCTATTAATAAAATATTCTACTGTTTTATTTCTCACATAAAACTTTACCCTTTGTCCCAGGTGAAATATTTTGTCTCTCCTTTATTGGTAGTGATTTCCAGTTTCACCATGAGAGGGTGTTCTTTTCCTGCGTTAGCTACATGGTTGTAGCTCCCCCTATTTTTATCATCCTACATGTTGTACTTCATCGGGCATGTATAGAACCCAGATAGTTAAGCACCTTCATTCAGCGCATTTGCTTTTTAGGGTGGTGAGTTAAAAGGCCAAAATATAAAACTGGGCTGGGGTGGAGGACAAGTGGGGCAGGTGACAGATGTGGCTAGAAACTGGCAGGGAAGTTGACTCACAGGAAGGAAGGAACTCTCAGAGAGACCTGGGAGGGGCAGGAGTAAAGAACGGAGAAGGTATAATAATCTGACCCTTGGGAAGATGCCCCCACAGTGACATTCAGGTTGTACCAGAAATCAACACGTTGAACCTACCTTGGAACCGCGCTCATTGAAAATGATCTCAACATCCAGGATCTTTCCAAATTGCTGGGGAAAGGGGGGAAAAAAACACAGGAGTTGGAAGTTGAAAAATGGGGGGGGGGGGGGTTGGG